CGTGTTATTCACCACTGCAAGAACAAGAAAACAGGGCAAATGTCCAGCCACAATCAAATCGGTTGAGAAATCGTGGTACATTCATGTGATGGATACTACACAACAGGCAGAAGCAATGATTTTGTAAGTCACTACCTAACTTGGGAGGGCCTGGAGAGCATTGTGCGAAGTGAACTTAGTCCCATAAGGACAAATACTGTGTAAGACCATTATTGTAGAAATAGATAACTAGCATAATGTATATGAGAATCTAAGGGGGTAGAGGGGAGGGGAATGGGGGAGTAATCATGCGGTCACATGGTTTGATGAGTTAAGGGGGGGTGGGTTGGAGAGATGGGGTGGTCTGCTGTGAGGGGCAATGTATACAAACTCTGTAGGTAAACCACTGTAAAATTTTTTTAAAGAAAGGAATTGCAAGAAATTTAAAAAACCTACAATTAATGAATATTAGAAAAAATAAAATAAAATTGCCTAACCACCCCCCTCAAAAGAGAAATGATGGAATGCTAATTGACTATTTCAAAAAAACAGATGTAGCCCTGGACCTGCTCGCCAAGTTGTACCAAGAAATTTGGAGGAAAACTACCTAGCCAAGTGACTGGAATAGATTCATATTTATCCCCATTCCCCCCAAATATAATCCAACAGAGTGAGGAAATTATCTTAAAATATCACTAATATAATCAAAATTTCATTCAAGGTTATTGAAAAAACAACTGAACATGACATTAACACCGAACTTCCAGAAATACAAGCTGGGTTTAGAAGAGGTTGTGGCACTAGAGATATCATTGACAACGTTCGATGGATCTTGGCTAAAAGCAGAGAGTGAGAAGAATGCCTATTTGTATTTTATTGACTATGCAAAAGCATTTGACTGTATGGATCACAATAAAATGTGGCTAACATTGAGAATAACGGCAACACCAGAACACTTGATTTTGCTTATGTGAAACTAACATCAACACCAGGAATCAGTCGTCAGAACAGAGCAAGGAAACACTACATGGTTCAAAATAAAGAAAGGAGTGCATCAGGATGCATCCTGTCTCCATACCTTTCCAATCTATACACAAACCAGATCATTTGGAAGGGTTTACTCTAGGCAGAACAATGTGGCATCAGGATTGGAGGAAGACTCATCAACAATCTGCACCATGCAAATGACACAGTCTTGCTTGTTGGAGATGTGGAGAACCTGAAGTGTTTGGTAAAGAAAGTCAAGAACTACAGTCTTCAATATGTACTGTATCTCAATAGGAAGAAAAAACTAAGACTCACCACCAGGAAAATTTGCATCATTATGACAGATGGAGAAAAGAATGAGGTTGTAAATAATTTCAGATTGCTCCAATTCAAGAATCAACACTCTTGGCACCAGCAGTAAGGCAATCAAAAGATGAGTTGCTTTGGGGAAATCTGCTGTCAGGGATGCTTTCCAGAGTGTTAAAGAGCAATGATGTCAGTCTAGAGACTAAAGCGTGCCTGGTTCGAGCCATGGTGTTCTCAATTACTTGCTATGCATCAGAGAGATGGAAAATGACCAAGAATTACAGAAGAAAAATCAATGCTTTTGAGCTGTTGTCCTGGAGTGAGTACTGAACATACTATAGACCACCAAGAAAACAGACAGGTCTTTCCTGGAGAAGGTGAAGCAGTCTACTCCCTGGAGGCAAGGATTTTCAAGCTCTATTTCACAACTTGAGGCATGCTGCTAGGAGGACTCAGTCCTTGGAGAAGGATATCATGCTTGGAAGGGTGGAGAGACAGGGCAGGAGAGGAAGACCCCAGATGAGATGGATTGACACAATGATGGTAGCAATGGGGGCAGGTGTATCAGAGACAATGAGATTGGTCAAGATAGGGCAGGGTTCAGAGCTACTGTTCATAGGGTAGCTATGAGTCATAGTTAGCTTGAAGGCACATAACAGCAACAAGGACCACCTATCATATAAAATGAACAATAGTCTAGGGCAGTAAACATGCTTCACACTCTTTAAAATAAAAAAGGACAAGAGAGAGGATATGTACTCTTAAGATATCTACTTAATAGAATAATATCTGACCCTTTCTCCCAATAAATAAGTACGTTAAATGTTTCCCTAAATCTTTATTGTTAGAACATTTCTCATGATCAACTAATATAAAAGATCTTCATCAATTACCCATCAACAATGTCTCTGTTGTTTTTTTATTTTCCCACTCATTCTCAGAGAAAGTTATTTTACATTTTTGTTTTGTTTTGTAGCACTTGAAGTCATTGCTTTGATTTTGACATCCTTCTCTAGTATCTGAAGAAGAGGGGAGAAATACTCTATAAAATGTTATGAGCTGAGACAGTCACACTTAGAATTGTGTTCTGATGCCTGATTATGGGTAAGTAACAACTGAAAAAATTGACTAACTCTTCTATCACTGACCTCTTAGGCTCTAGTTTTCAATGTTGGATCTGTTGTCATTAAAAGTCTTACAAAACAAACTATCTTTAATTAGACTGGGAAAATGCTGAATAATACCAGGTGCTAAAACCAATGATTGTTTTATACAAAAACAAACATTTTTACAAAGGATAGTAACTCAGACAGCAGTATTATCTCTCTTTTTTTTTTTTTCAGAAGTATCTCTTGTAACAAATATGTATTTGAAGGCAAAGATAACAAAATATGCATTTTATGATTCTGGCATCAATTTCTGGCATTACCAAGTCTTCTGGTTAATCAATGATCACTAAAATCTTCAAAAAAACCAAGAAAAATCCAACCACCAAACTAAACTGGTATCTTGGTTACAAACTCATTTGAAATAGGCTAATTGCCCCTGAATTATTTCCAAATGAGATAAAGGCTGTCCTTGTGTTATAGTTAAATTCAAGGTTCATTAAGACTTTTCTCCTAAGAAAATGTCTAATCTTATCAACATAGTGAATAGTTTTATAATTGATAAGGAAGTATAGATAGTCCTTGACACCAAGCAAACCTGAGCAGGGCAAACTTCATTGTAAAGAGAATGACCGCTCATTTTTTATCTTTAGGTTTAAAGTGGAGAAAACTCAAAACTGAGTCTATCTGTGCAAAGTTACTTGTTTTAGAAAGAAAAAACATTGATTAATATGTATAAAATTCTCAACTTGCAGGTTTTTTTCAAACATCTTAAAATTTCATATAAGAAACAATGTGAGAAAATGAAATGAAAACAAACTTCCAAAATGTGTGCCGGAACATAAAGAAGAATATGTAAATATGTATGAGTATTAATACACTGTTTGCTTTCTCTTTTCTTTCCAATCCATGCTACATAATAAGAGTTAGTCTGCCATTTGAAATCACAAATAAAGCCGACTTACATTTCTGAGACTTAAATAACACATCTTGATAACATTCAAGCTTTTCAAAAGCCTCCAAATCCCAAACAACTTGATTTTTATAAAATTAGAAGTGGAAGCAAAATCCGAAGTATGAAAGTATTACTTATTCTCCATTGCTGTAGCTTTATACTTACAAATCTATTTTTTCCATAGATTTTTCTAAACCAGTTAATACACTTTAAAAACCAAGAAATACATACTCTGTTTATATTCTTCCTTTTGACTGGTGTCCTAAACAAGACACATATTGTAAAACCGTATTTTATAGAAAGAACAGAATTAGAGTTAAAATAAGAAAATGTGCCTACAATTTGCATATATTAGC